GTGTTCCCAATTCCAATTTAGAAAGTTGAGGTCGTTGTCCTACCTACCTACCTACCTATTATTAATAATTAATAAATAAATATTAAGGAAGGGTTAGTTGCAAGTAATAACGTGTTAAGAAGAAATTTAAATTAATAGCAATCTACTTTCCCGTTTATAAGAACATACTTTCAGCATATAAAAGCAATGCAACATTGGTTATTAGTATTTAAACTAAGTAGCTTGCTATTAATTTATGAGTACCCTCCCTTAAGTCATTTACAATAAAGGTGGCTACTTTTTTAACTTGAGTAAATTACACGTATGGTCCTATGGTTTGGGTTAATTTCTGTGTTTATTTTTTTAACTCGGAGGTCCCTACTGTTTGTTTTTGTTACGCGCTTGGTCCCTGTCTTACTTAAAAAGACTATTATTTGAATAGGAAAAAATGGTGGGGTAGGTAAAATAAGGTGAGGGGTGAGGTTGGTGGTGTGTTTATTACCCTAAACCATAGGGACCATTTGTGTAATTTACTCTTTTAACTTTATTGCACTTGAAATTATTACAGGGCTCTCCTTTCTGTACACCAATATTGCATTTCAGGTATGGAAAGAACACTGTTCCTCTTTCATTTTACTACTTTTCCATCCAAATCCAAATCTTCACCTTGTCGATGAGGTACATTCAAGACAAAACTGCAAGAATGCTCCCTGTGTTTGTATCTGGTTTTGGTCCCTGTCCAAACTCAAAAGACTATTATACCTTTCATATATTTGTTTTTCATTTTTTTAAGTTATTATTATTATTTAATTTAGAAAACGAGCACACACGAGCCAAAAAATAACAGCACCCACCATTACCAATACCATCATCTTCCTCCCTTGACCTGTTATCACCATCACAACCATTTTCCTTTAGAATTTTCACAAAACAAAAGCCGCATCTTTGTGAACTTGTGAGGACTCAACACACACACACACACACAACCAAAACCTTGCCATTTGCGGACAGAAACACAACACACACCAAAAACCTTTTCATTCAGAACAGAACAGAACAGATTATGCAAGGGAGGTCAAACCCACAGATTAATTTGTTACCTGTTAATCGCATTCGCATTTGAGGATCATTTCTCAACTCACTGTTTTTTTTTTTTTTTTAATCAACATAATTTCCCGTCAGAACTTGGTAATAAGTGATGTGTATTATAAGGTGAACTTGGAGGTGGACCAGGTGCTGATTTCTGGTGGCTAGGATGGCCATTGTATTCATATTTTCCTAACAATATACAATCACTCATTCCAGTCTAATCCATTCGTGCACAATAAATATCACACCCAATTGATTATGATATCCACACACATACATATCCAAACGCATACTTACAGCACATTGACTTCACCTTTAAGTGTAATGTTTTCATCTTTAGCAGGGGATTATCTCTCTGCCTTGCATTGCATGACTCAATCAACTCCACAACTTGCCCAAACACCACAAGCCTTAGTGTCAACCATGGTGTCTATAAAAGAAAGAAATGAATGTTACATGTTTATAGATAGAATGATGCCCGCTTTCATACCTTGACTGTGCTTCTAAAGAATTCACTTCCATTTTTATTTTATATTGTAGTCTCCATGCTATCAAATTCTTGATCTAACATCAATCACCGCAATGGTAAGGTAGAATTAATGACTATTGGTTTTAAAGACCATTTTCAAACTGCATTTCTTTCATTCCTAAAGCTTGATACATTGCCATTACCAACGCTACAGAAGGATGGCTTGTAGATGTTACACATTAGCTTAGTTGAATTTTAATTAAATCTTGATAAATATTATAACCCTAGAAATATTAAATCAACATTAAGAAACCCAGATATATTCATAAATATGTCAAGGGTTCCATTTAATGGTTTTACATATTCTCCTATCCTAACCAATAACCTATCTACAGCTCAAAAAAAAATTAGACCTGATTCCATCATTTGTGTACATACCTTTTTTTCTTGTGCAAATAATAATAATGTTTAATTGCAAAAACCCGAAACAACAAAAAAGGAATGGTGAATAGAATATACCACTGTTAGAAACATTGTTAATGATAGCAAGTTGTAAGTATCAGGATATACATGGGATCCCCATGGTAATTTGTTGGGATCCTAGTCATGTCGTAATGGATGGTGGGTAAAAATAGAAATGGCTCTGTGTAATATCATCACTAGCAAATCAAAACATTAACTTCAACTGATTCCATAATAAAAAAACAAACAGTAAAAAGAAAGTACAAAACTTTTACAAAACTTAAACCAGTATAAAACAAAAGGGGATAGGAAGAATCTAAGAGAGAAGTCGTTGGGTACAACGACTTCTGATTGAGGGTGGTGAGTGATGGTGGTGGTGTAGAGGAGAAGGGGATACAAATGCTGTGACTTTTTGGGGAAGAAACCTTATAAATGAAACTCCTAGGTCAAAATATCACAAAAATCAAAATCATGTCGTTCTTATCGACATAAACATCACCAAAATCAAAATAAAAAAGGAAGCAACAAATAAATAAAGAAACTGATGTCTAGAGAGGAAATGTATCTACCTAAAATCAAAATATTGCAACCTCTAGGTTAAGGATCTCCAAGCTATTGGAAGTCGAATAACCTGAATATTTGAATTTGAATAGTCGATCCTAACTCAAGTTTGTTTCTATCCTGTAATCGCACAAATACACCCAAATATGTTATCATGTACATAGAAACACACTTACCCTCAAATATCTTCAAACACACAATCAACAAAGACCTTATAATTTTGTATTTCACTTGATCTGTCCATAACATCATCGTTTCTTTGTTTCTGTTTAAAATTTCTTCATTCTGAAGGTCAGCGATGATATGCAATGGTGAAGTGGTAGTGAGGTTGTACAATGGTTGGATGATAGGCGACTTAGGGTTTATATATATATATATATATATATATATATATATATATATATATATATATATATATATATAGAGAGAGAGAGAGAGAGAGAGAGAGAGAGATGATAGTGCTGATTATGGATAGCTGATGAAAGCAGCTGGTCGGAATCTTGTTCTCTGGGTATGTGTGTAAAACCTGCAACACATACGACCTCACATATAAGAAAACCTATTGTCCCAAAACAAAATTTGAGCAAAATAAACTCACATAAGTAGCAGAATAGAGGGACATCGACTTACCAATGGTGGTGCGCATGTGCTGTGTTGCTCCGGTGGTGTGACGATGGTAAGAGAAGAACGATGACTTGCTTCAATACTTAAATCATATGTGTAATTTGTAGGTAGGCATGATCTTACCAATTTCCATTTGACTAATGTACAAAAATATAAGAGATTTAAGTGTAATATGCTTATGTAAAGCTTGTCTGGTTTTGGAGGTTTGATTGGGTTCAAATAGTCCGAAACTCAGAGAAAATTAGATACAAACATGGAGAAAATCAATAGCAGATAAAATAATTCACAGAGAACCTGATTTCTTGAATTATATGGTGACGATGGGCCTAAGATGCAGGAGATAATAATGATTTGAAAATGCTATAAATGAAGGAATGTGGGTTCAGTTAGGGGATGATAAATTCAAGATATAAAATGGGTCCAGTGAAACTAAAGACATTTGTGAATGAATTTGAATTTTAAATGATAGGATTATGACTTTTGAATTACATATTACTTTGACTTTTTCAATGGTTTGACGGATAAGATTTACAAGTTCTATACGTATAAATTGATTGTACATATTGTATTATGGTTTGTACGACTTAATTTTAAGGGTTTCACCAAATATGTTTTATAAGGTATAACAGATAAGACGAAAGGGAGTGGTAACACACCTAACACCTTGCTACATCAGCTTTTTGAGTGCTACCTCATGTTTCTCCATTTAACACCTAATCTTAGCATTTGGTAGAGAGTGGTAACACTCCTAATACTCGATTATATATATATATACACACACTTAAATTACTTTATTTTATTACACAAACAATTTTTATAGATAAATATTAATTAAATTTTATTTTTTTAAATCACCATAAATTAATATAATATAAATCAATTACATAATATTTAAATGCAGGGTTCTTTTGGTAATTTCAAAAAGTTATTATTACACAAACAATTTTTATAGATAAATATTAATTAAATTTTATTTTTTTAAACCACCATAAATTAATATAATATAAATCAATTACATAATATTTAAATGCAGGGTTCTTTTGGTAATTTCAAAAAGTTATGGTTTGTGAGAGGAAGTAAGATGGGGTGTGATGTGTAAGTATAGGATTTTTGGAGGTTCATTTCTATCAAATTAAGATACATTGTCTTCTTCCTCCCAGCAATTGATTGCTACGATAGACTCCCATTTTCCATTTTCAAGCTTATTACCTATCGTAGTTTTTTCCAAAAGCAAGTGAGAAACTGAAAGTGTGTGGAGAGGAGATTTGGGAAGACAACAACAAAGAATCACGAAAAAAAATATAATAATAGAAAAAGAAAACAGCCAATCAGATTTCATCTCTTCATTCTCTCTCATGTCGCTAGCTTCTTGACGATTTGTTCTTGGCGCCTCCCTTAGCGAGTTTGTGGTGATTGGATAGCATCTAATAACGAGCCTTTTGGCAAGTGGGATGGCGAGGCCACTCCCTCAAGCCTAATAGATATATGCCCACAACCACTTATATGTAACACTTTTTTATTCAAAATTAGATAATGGATAGTGGATACAAGAAGAATCTCAAAATCTTTGGGAAATTTGAGATGAAATGTATGAAAATTTAGAAAAGCCAAATGGAAATGATGAAAGTTAATATGAAAGACAAAATGAAAAAGTATATTAATCATTTTTTATCAAACTAAACGTTTGAGCAAGAAATACCACCATAGAAACACTTGTATTTTTTTGGATTTGGTCCAATATGTTTTTTTTTTTTTTTCAATTTCTCTTTATTTTTTTCCTTGAAAGGCAATAACCATTTCACAGGGCAACACAAAGTTCATTCCCAAATTTTATTTTATATTGTCAAATAACATAGGTTTATTGTGTTTTCGAGATAATATTTCACATATGGTGTATGCCAATAATTCAAAAACAGTTATAACAGTATTATTAATTAACATGTACAACAATTTCATTAAAAAATTAGTATATAGATGCCATGTGACCTGGTAATAATACCATGTGCTACACATTTTGTTGTTGGTTTGTGTAGAGCTGGTGTTGTTTGATGTAATCAATAACTTCATCTGATGTCAAATACTTCACCGATAAACCCCGCGAAATGCAATCTCTATAATCACAAACAAACAAAAATAAACTCCAAAAATTAAAGCAAAAGTGTTGAATTTTATTGGATTGGAATTTGAATACCTTACTAAAGTTGAGCTAATACGGTTTGGAACTATTTCATCAACCACTTGGATGTTATTCTGCATTATTCAAATTACAAAAATTGGATAAGCTCAAGAATATGCAACAAGATTGGTGAAAAGACGTAAATGCCCCTACCCTGTATTCTGTCAAAATGTCTATGTGTGAGATGATTTTCTCAATGTCTTGACCTTCTCTACGGATACAAACAACACCATAATCTCTGCATATACTCCTCACCTAAAATAAAATGTCAACAAAAACAAATCATAAACTCATGTTAAGATTTATAGAATTACTGATGAAAAATTACACAAAAATAATAATTTACTTATTTACCTGGTCAGGTATCCAAGCTCCAGGAATGCCAAATGATTCTAACAGATCAGAGCCACAAACAAGCATCACCTTTAAAGATGCTTCAATTAAAAAAACAAAAAAAATTAAAGCATCTTGAATCCCAACATTTCTCCAAAAGGGTAATTTGGTCATAACAGGGTGCACTTTGTACCATTAGGTATGAGTCCATTATCAGAAAAGAAGCTTCTGATTCTTGACAATACAGTCAATGAGCGTTGAAATGAAGTTTGTTTTGCCTAAAACAGATAAATAATTCTGCATCAATAAATAAAGAAAACAATAATCAAAACATTTAATATATATTGAATAAAAAGAAATGCGTTAATACTTTTGAAATCCACTAACCTCCCATGCATCCACCATTACAAAATCAGAACTTTTGCAAGCTAATTGGCACATTGTAATACGGTGTTCAGATGGTATGAGACCCTATGCAAAGATTATAAAAATAATAAAGTCTATAGTTTTTACTTTTTATGCATAATGCTAAAGAATTTTGATTTTGGTAAAAGAAAAAAAAAAAGATAATCTTTATTTCTTGTTCATGTACCTTTTTTTTGTATGCATCGTTTACAGGTGACATATAACCTCCAACAACATTGAATCCTTTTGAGTTAAGTACATCTCTTGCCAATTCTAAGCATGAAAAAATAAAAAATAAAATATAAAATTGACAATTTGTGTAAACCCAAAAACATAACATGAGAAAGTAACTATACATACCAAAAAGGCGTAAATGCATGAATGTAGGAGGATTGAAGCTTCCTGGGGATACCAAAACTACATGGATTTTTCCCCTGTGAGAATGTAAGAGGGGTGAAAAAGTAATTATGCATTGTTTATTAATTTGAGAAAGTAATCACTAAACATGATGATTGTGCAAGACTTACTTTATGTTGGAATGTGATGAAGCATTTTGCTCAATGGGCACTAACATTAACTTATCAACTGGCAATTCGACATCCATTTTTATAGAGGCGTTTGGTTTGTATTTTCCTGCTATCTGAAAATACTGAAAAGCCCCTCATCAACAATGGCAGCCGATTGCTAATTTAGGGTTTCAAATTGATCATGGTGACTTTCAATTAGAGATACACCAAAAAGTCGATATTATCAAGAACGACAAAAGCAATTGATATCTATTCAAACAAAAAAAAAGTTAGAATAGCATTCATACACTAATCACCTTGCAAAAAAAGTTATCAGATTTGCAAACGGATACAATTACATAAATGAAAAACAAATTCAACCCAAAAGAGGATATTGTAATCCCCGTTTAATAAAACACACACAGTAACAAGAACACCTACATAATTTGAATAAATAAAATTGCAGGTCTAACCTTGAAATTCGTTCGTTGATAAGTATACTTCAGCTTCAAAGAAAAGCTTCAGTTGAGATAATCAGTGGCAGAAAAATCGAATAAAGCCTTATGCTTTATAGAAAACGATAAGTCATGCCGATGATATGGTGGTTGATTATTTGCGATTTGGATGGAATCTATTTCTGAGTTCGATTAGCGTAATATACGCGGGACAAAACAACATTCTAACGTTAGGCGTAGATAGGACTAGAATAAAAGCAAATACGGACAAAGTCATTGGGACTATTTTACCTGATTTCAGTAGGACAGAAGGCACAATGACAAAAAGACCCTTCTATCCCCTCTCTTTCACCTTCATTGAAACTTCAATGACCCAAACTCCTTCCAATTTCCTAGCAAAACTGGTTTGAATCAGATCGGTGTACCTCCAAAACGAAATATGTTAGGATAAATGGGTCTCGGTTAAATTTATTGTATATAATTATAAAATAATCATTACATGTCTAATTTGTAATTGTTATATTATTAAAGATCAGTAGGGAACCCGCGCGATGCAGCGGGACGTGAATGCGATGGTGGTTAATAATTTCATTTTTCCGATTAATTTCCTTTTGACGAGTCGAATCATCATTTTCTGATGAATAGTCTTATTGTATCGATTAGTTTTATTTTGAAAACATTTTATTTTTCAAAGAAAACGTCATACATCGACAATGTATGCATGTTAGTTGGTATTTTTATTATTTGTAACTGACATATTTATCAAAAGAAAAAATAAACCGTGTTCCAGTGTTTTTGTAAAATTAATTTGGCATCATGTTGGGAGCTCCGTTTCATAGGGCGTGTGGTGATTATTTGGCAACTTGATAACGCATGAACTCCACACATCATATATGTGGAGGTGGCGTAGCATAGTGTTCCTAAAACTCCTTAACGCAAGAAACCCTTATTGTGCTTCTTCATTATACAAGTCTATGTGCTTAGAATACAATAAATTTGGGGTTGATAAGAGTGATGTATTTCCTAGGGTGTAGTTGGAATGTGGTGTTATGATGTTACAGGGTTAGGGTTATGAATATATCGCATAACCTAATGATTTCACATTTGACGTATACAAGGTTAGGGTTATGAATATATCTCATAACCTAAGGATTTTACATTTAACGTTAGAGGGTTATGGATATATCTCATAGCCTAAGGATTAATAACCTTAAGCATTTGAAGATTATATGTGGACAAATTAAAGACATTATTTGCTAAAACATTTTTGAATATGGTCATTAATGATATTAGATAGTATTTTTTTTTTTTTTTTCCAATTTTTACATTGATAAATCTTGTTATGAATAAATCATTTACTATGAAATATCAAACAAATAAATTAACTAATATTAAAAAAATAGAAACACAAAAAAATATTAATGCTTGTGCATATTATTATTATAATAAATATTTTCAGTGTTTGCTTGTTTGAATCGACAAAATCAGTATTTCATTTATGTTTTTTGTTTATACAAAACATATGTTCATAATTATATCCATATTAAGTATACAAATTTAAAAACCTAAAAATATACTTTTAAATTCATTTGAACCCTTTATTTTTTGAACATAATACTTAATACTTAATGAACATAAATTTTTAAAGGTTTAACATCTAAAGTTACTTTGAATTATCATCGAACTTTAAATAATTGGTTATGGCTATTTTATTTAAAAATACAATTTGTTTTATAATACTAATTATACAATATACATTATTTCTTAACTGGACTAAGAAGTTGGGGATTATCATAAAGATTAAAAAAAAAAAAAAAAAAAAAAAAAAAAAAAAAAAAAAAAAAACGTTATCATTTATATCAACATTGTTGTTTTGTTGATAATTTTTTCTATTTCTCAAAAATTAGTCAATTTATTAAATAGCATTAGAAAAAATAATATAAATGTGTTTTGATTGAATAAGAAAAAACAGTATATGTTCGTACAGAAAAAATTAAATATGGTTATTAAAAATCTTTATCCTTAATTCCTACTATGTTAAAATGTATTTTGTTTACCATAAGGAGTAATGGTGAATTTTTTTTCTTGATAGACATCTTTTTCTTGTTATATTGTAAATTAGATGTAAAACTCATGTATTACATAAATATAAAAATATATATATATATATATATATATAAATTTAATTAAAAAAATAAATATAAAAATTTAATAATTTGAAAAGTTTGAATTTATAAGAAAAATGAGAAAAAAATTGAATTATTAAAATTAATGAGACTTTAATGTATTGAATACATTACATATATAAACCCTTTCTAATAAATATTTTACATATATATTACTTTACACATTAAATGTGGAATTTTAATTTAATAAAATGAAAAATACAATAAAATGACAAGTGGAAAATAAAAAATTTAAAAATTCTTGAAAATATCATGTGTCCAAATGAATGAGAAGATGATATGTTGCAAAAAAAACCTTCATTTATTTATTATAGTAGATATGTTCCAGCATTTTATATATGAAAATTTTTACATAAGTCTTTTTTAGTAAAATTTTGTATCCTAATTTACGTTTTTTAAATCAAAAGGGTTAAAGCTTAAATTTTAATCAGTGAACAATTAAATTGAAGTAAATATATTTATTAAAGCTCAACTGCAATTAATTTGATAGGTCATGTCAGTTGTACTATAGGGCATGTAAAAACTCTTATTTATTGGGAAAATACCGACAATAGTCAAAAAAAAATGGGGGGTTTTTTTTCAAAATATAGACACAAGAGTAGACGTTTCCGGATATAGAGATGCATTTCGCGGAGGTAGCTCCACGGAATCTACTGTAGCTCCGCGAAATGGATCTTGAGTTTTTTTTTTACATCAATTCTTCGAGGTTTATATTAATTTTCCAGCTAATTATTTTCAAGTAAAGATTATAATATTATGACAATCTTTTCTTAAAAATAATTAGTTGGGGGAATGAATATAAACCCCAAATAATCGATATGAAAAAAAAAAAAAAAACCTCTAAAGATTCATTCCTCGGAGCTACCTCCGCAGAATGAGTTCATTCACCGAAGGTAGCTTCGCGGAATGGATCTTTAGTGTTCTTTTTTTAATACATTGATTTATTTACTATTTTTCCATTCCACGGAGCTTCAGTAGATTCTACAGATGTCCGCAGAATGCATGTCTATATCCGGAAAAATCTATTTTTTTACTATTGCCGGTATTTTCCCTTATTTATTACTTCAAGTATTCCGATAAAGTTTTTTTTGTCTTTTACAGTAGAGTGATTAGAAAGAAAAAATCTAATACAGTAGAGTGATTAGAAAGAAAAAATCTAATAAAATCAATATGGGGAAAGATTTAAGAAGAATAATAATGAACAACTCTATGTTGTTAAAGAAGGCTCTTAATGTGACCAATCAAATATTGAGTCGTATACACAATTCAACAGATGTCAAAAAGACAAAAATACCAGATCATACACAAAAACACAACTAAACAAAAAATTAAATAAATAAAGTTATAGCTCGTTTCAAAGTTTTAATGCTCTTATTACTTTATACATCCCATATAACTATACTACTCATGTATTAGAATACTTAACATGCTTGCTTCATCTAAAAATAGCCAATGACTACACTTTTGGTTAATATATTTGAATATATCTAGAACCATATAGAAATTAAATTAAAACAAATCGGGAATATAATAATAGATAGGGCACATGAAAAGTTTTATGCTAACAAATTACATAAACTAACAAATCAGAACTTTCAGGTCATACTGATGAAGGTGGTGCTACAAAATCAAAAATAGAAAGGTTCTAAGAAAGAAGGATCGAACCAGATCTTAAACAAACATACACACATGTACTATCTATCACAAACAAACACACATAAAGGTCTAAAAATACAACAATATCTTGTAGATAAATCTTGTAAATGGTGGTGATGAACGTCATGGTGAATGGTGTGAGGCTAACAGCAATGACTACATAGTGTTGGCAGAGATGTAGCAATGATTATGACGATGTAGCGGTACTAGTGTTGTGTTGCATTCGTGAATGTGTTAATGGTGGTTTCTATGGTCTTTCCAAAGAGTGAATAGATAGTGGTACTAAAGGTGGACGCGGGAGAGGCGGTGATGACAGTGAAGACGGTGTAGCACTGGCGACGATTGTTGGTGGTGAGGGGTGATGGCCATGTTGGTTAGGGTTTTCATAGAGGTTTTTCAGATCTGAGGTTTTCAATAATTGTTATGGAGCAAATGAAGTTCGTGGCTTTTTAACAAACTTGACGGAGGATGCTGGTGAAGAGGGCGAGAGCAAAATGTGGTTTCAAGGTGTCATCTGGTTTTATAGTGTTTTATATTGTGATTTTCTTATAAGTGTTTGTTGTAGGTTAAGTTTGATTGGTTAGTTTCATTTCAGATGGATCACCACTTATCTAATCTACACCACCCATCATAAATTCAATGGCCAATAAACCTTCTTCTTGTTTTTAAGACAATTGTCTTAAAAAAAAAAGATGGTCCACCAACATGTATACATTATAAAGTATTAAGTTATTAGAAAAAATCTACTTAATGTTGAAGGATAATTTAGTAATTTAAACAACTTGTTTCACTTTGGCCTAGTCATACCAAACACTTTGTAAGTAATCATTAATAAAGTTATTTCAATCTAGTTTAATTATGTTATGATCTGGTTCATATACCAAACACTGCCTTAATGAAAATACGTTAAAGCAATTTAGTACGCTTCCGACTTTGACGGGGATAGAGGGGCAAATTAGGAAATTTTCCTCTAAAGAGGGAATGGAATGAAAGGAAAATGGGATACTCATGAGAATGAAATCGAATGCCCTTTGAAGGGAATAAGATTATGTCATTATATGTTAACACAAAGTTTTAGTAAAGAAAAAGAAAATAATGGGAAATATGTAAGAAAATAGGGTAGGATTTATAGTGGTGATCTGAATACCCCTTGGATCGTGTAAACACTTTCCCCTTGGATTGTGTGAACACTTTCCAGACTGATATTTTTACCATATGTCTGGAAAAGAAATTAAGCTTAGGATAATCTCAAGGGACACTTACGGATTTAGGTACAGATAACGTAAGCCAAATTAAGGAGTTCATGAGAAGATAAACGTAAGCCAAATTAAGGAGTTCAAGACAAGTCCCAAATGCATGAAGATAAACTCGACGAGTTCATAAGGAGCTCGGTGAGTCCAAGACTAAATGTGTCTTCTTGCATGAAGAAGGACTCGACGAGTTCAAGGATGAACTCGATGATTCAGTTAAAGAAAGTCCCGACTTTGTATGAAGGAGAACTCGGCGAGTGCTTGCAAGACTCGGCGAGTAGGGTCGATGTTTTAATGTTTTGAGGATTTGGGGACTCAGCGAGTTGTTGGGGAAACTCAGCGAGTTAAGTCAACCAGACGTTGACTTTGACCCAAAGTTAACTTTGACCAAGGTGTTGACCTTGACTTTGGTTTTAACCTGAGTAACCCTTGTAAGGGTTAAGAATATGTAATGGTAAATTAAGGAAGGTTGTTATGTGTAGGAGTTAGGAGGAGTTGATCCCGACATCAACGACAGTCCAGTTACTGCACGACATTGAGATGAGTTACCTTCCAGTAGAAGTGGATCTAAGGCCACAATGTCGAACCACTAATAGGAGTTGTCTGATAGATGATTGTCTTTGAGATAATTATCTAGGTTTGTTACTACATTATATGTTTTATGTGTTAGCATGGTATAATGTTATGTGATAGTAGGTAGTAGGGGGAATAGTCCCTGTGTCACGGTTGTAAGGACCGATGGGTAGGTCAGGCACCCCGGAATTGCATGTCAGTATGTTTATGTTATGTTATGTGGTAGTGGTAAAGGGTGAAATAGTCCCCAGTAGTCGGTTGAGATAAACCGACGGGTAAGTCAAGCACCCCATAATGGCTTGACATGGGTAAGTTAAGCACCCCATAATGGCTTGACCTGGGTAAGGCAAGCACCCAAGAATGGCTTGACATAGGTAGGTCAGGCACCCCCGAACTGCCTGATAGTATGTTATTGTATGGTGTGTGGTATGATGGGGGAACTCACTAATCTTTATGCTTACGATTTTCAGTTTTGGTTTCAGGTACCTCGTCATCGAAGGGGAAGGAGCCGGCACGGTAGTGGCGCATCGCACACACATGATTTGCACATTCT